AGAAACACACATTGAAGAAGCCCTCAGTAGCACTTCCTGCCAACAATATGTCTTTCGCTATACAGCCAAGTATTACCGAAGGAAAGGCTGCCTAGACAAGGCTCTCAATCTGCTACTCAAGGCCTTGAAGGCATCACCTGCCTCTGGCTACCTGCATTACCAACTGGGGCTCTGCTACAAGCAACAGGTGATCCAACTGAAGAAATGCAGTAATGACCAGGCGAGAAGGCAGGGCAATGTGCAGAAATTGGCACAACAGGCCATTTGTGAATTTCAAGAGGCTGTGAAACTCAGGCCCAGAAATGAGATGGCTTATGTTTGCATGGCAGAAATGCAGGCAGAAATTGGCCAATATGAAGAAGCAGAGGGAAATTTCCAGAAGGTGCTAAACATGAAGAATCTTGAGTGTCACATAGAGCAGGATATTCATTTCCGCTATGGCCGTTTCCAACAATTTCATCAGAAATCAGAAGACAGGGCAATCACCCACTACTTAAAAGGTTTGAAAATAGAAGAAAAGACCTTTGTCTGGAGGAAACTACTCACAGCTTTGGAGAAAGTGGCCACAAAACGTATTCACCAGAATGTTCAACTGATGGAGAGCACAAGCTTGCTTGGGTTAGTCCACAAACTGAACGGGGACAAGGAAGAGGCCCTGAAGTGCTATGAGAGGGCTCTGAGGCTCACTGGGGGATTGAACCCTGAGTTCTGAATGCAGCTCACATCTGTGAAGTAAATGTACTCATTACTGAGTGTTCCCGGCCTCCTTCCCGGTTTCTTTCTTCAACTGCATGGCTTACTGGAATGCGAAGTAGCTCAGTGCATGTGCTGCTGTCACCATTTCTCACCCCTCATTGTCCTGTCCAGAAGGAACTTGCACCACACTGCATCTTCTCACTTACTGACCAGGACTGACCCCTACTGATCTGCAATCCCTTGAGCTGTGGGATCCTAGGACATCTTTTTTTTAATGTCTGTGTCTTGGGAATGAAAGTCATCCATCCTCTGCCTGTCAGTGTCCTGGACAAAGAGGTCTTTTCCAAGGAAGCTCTTACTTTACGTCAGCAGATACTCTTAGTACAGTGCAGTGTTGGAGAAAACCAAGTGAGCAAAGGGGAGAGTTTGAACACAAGAGGTCTCCCCTTACTGCAGAATCATTCATGGCTAATAAGAGGCTTAAGTTTGGAAAAAGCCAAGCAGAAGAAACTTGCCTGGACCTTACAGACAGAAGATGATATGAGGAGATTTATGCACTTTTTCTGTTCTATTGATATTGTGTTATATGTGATGCTTTTCCCTCAACTAAAATATATTCAGTAAAGTTCCTTGAATCACAATGTCTTCCAGTGTAATTTGTTGATAGAATGGAAAGGATATCCTTTCATTGTCCTCAAGAAGGCTTGGGAAAGCAGGATCAACTAACAGAAGTCTATGGGCAGGCAGGAAAGAAAAGTCTGCATATAAACCCTGCAAGAGGTTTGTGAAAGTATGAAGGCTATATTTCATCCTCCACATCATGGTATAGTAAGGGTGACTGATGCTGCCATGCTATCTGACAGCTGTTGTTTATCATTGTGAATTATATTGCTCAGGATGGCTTTAGGGTTCTTTACCTGACACCTGGGAACATACAGCTGATATTTTTAATACATGTTTCTATTTTTGATAAGCCAAAACATGTTTATTATATTCAAGCAAAGTTAAAGTGTAGTGAAAACTCTCAGGAATCATAGTACTACTCCCTAATAGTCTCAGTCAATGCAGAAGAAGAGTAACTGATTGGAAAGTTAAGCACATGGGTGAGAGAAAGATAGGGAGACAGCAAGAAGGCATGCAGTTTGATTCATGAGCCAAGGTCTGGGAACTTGGCAGACTCTCCTCTTCCATGAGAGCATTTTCACACTTGCCCAAGGTAAGACATCTTTACAAGGTTTTTCAAGGGATGATATGTGGGTCAGACACTGGATGTTTCAGACACCTGGGTGTCCTGTTGTCATTAAGTTTGTCCTCTTCACTTACCTCCATGAGAGTTGTAGTCTGGAGGGTCTAAACTAGAGAACATAAATGGTTAAAATTCTCCCCTTGATTAAAGTACCCTGTGGTTCCTAGGTCCTGAGCTCAGCAAGCCCAGCATGCACCCATGTGCTCTGTGTCTGCTGACCCACACTGCCCATGCTCAGGAGCACTTCCCCATCCTCTGCATCTCCTCTCTCCTTGTTCCTGCTGTTTAGCTGTCCTGCAGCTCTTTGGGGTTTTCTTTGCTCTTCCTTATCCCCTCTGAGTATAGTCTCCTTTTGTTATCCTAGTCTTCCCATTCACACAACTGCATGGATGAAACTACAGCTAGTTGAGGTGTGGCCTCCACAGCTGTGCAAGGAATAAGCATGGGTGACAC